GGTTCCAGTAGTCCAAACATAAAAAAATCAAAAAAATAAAATTGGAATATCTAAAATTTAGAAATCGAGAAATTGAACAATCGCATAATTGAAAAATCGAAACATCGAAAAACTGGAAAATCGAAAAATTAAAAAAAAAGGAAAATAAAAAATTTAATAAATTCCAAAAATTGAAAAAGTGAAATATGCGTAGAAGAACTGAAAACTCTAGAAATCGAAAAATCTAGAATTTTAAAAATTGAAAAATTAAAATATCGAAGAGTTGAAAAATTGCGAAATCGTATCATTGAAACATCGGACAATTGAAAAATCGAAAAATGAAAAAATGGAGAAATCGAAAAAATGGAGAAATCGAAAATTTGAAGAATGGAAAAATTGAAATATTCAAAGATTGAAACATCAAAAGTTGAAAAATCGAAAAATCTCAATAATGTATTTATAAACCACAAGTTCAGGATTATGCTACTAAAAAATCGTGATCTCAAAATTTTGCCGAATAAATTCTACTAAAAATGTGCAAAATATGAGGAGTTTTTACTTGTAATTTATCATTGCATTCATATTTTTTACATTTTGCTTATATACCTAGGTGGCTCAAAAAAATTAATGAATGAGTCTAAATTGACTCAATTTACGTGTCCTTGTAAAATGTTGATGATTTCATCACAAAATTGTGTACCTAAAGTAAAAATTTAACTCGAAAATGCTGGATATGTTTCATTGTATTTTAGGTGCGAGGGAAATTCTGTCGAATCAACTTTCCACCAATTTTTTTTGCTGTTATATTTGAACATAAACAGTTTATTTTATATATTTTTAAAACGTTATAAAGAAAATAAAAAGTTGTGTTAGACTGAACCTTGTGGGTTTCTCAATCCATTTTCCGCAGCATTTTAAACTTTCAACTCAATTTCTTTCAAAACACATACGAATGGATTTCGATGGTTATTTCCTGTACCCGTCATTTGAAAATAAATAAGCCGACGAATAATACGACGAAAGATAATTGCAAACGCCGTCAATTACTTTATGAGGGGTCTTTGGTACTTTGTACCCCAAACCTGCCATAAAACCATTACGAATCCTTCGGAACGGAGGTACGACTTCAGCCAGAGCCGGACGTCAAATTTTGGAGCGTTTATATATTATTATGAATCATGGTAGGTTAATTTTTATTGGGATATTTATAGGGAATATGTATTTGCAAAGATTTAAAAAGTTTTAAGAACCACACTTTCATGTGTCCTTAAATTTTAAGATTAAAAAAATAATTCTTCTGACTGGAACCGATTTTGCGGGCGACGACTGGGGACCCTTAAGAGGGGAATATAAAATACCGATTAGGGCAGGTAAAAGGTTTGAAAGCAAAATAGTTCTTCGAATATTGTTAAGTAGGTGCATCTTTGAAATTTTCTTTAAAAATAGTCTTTTTTATTTTGCTTGAAAATAAAAAAAAACTATTATTGCAATTATGTTTTTCATAATATTTTCATTTTAAGAAATTTTCGTCTTAATATGTTTTAAGTTTTTTAGTTTTAGATAATTTTCGATTTTACACAAAATTACAGTAAATTTAAAACAAATCCAGAGGATCAAAGTATTGCCGTTTTTGATAAAAGTACCTATACAAATTCCGAGTGTCTTTTTTAAAGAATGCGAAAGGATCCCAGTGTTTTTTTTTATTTCCAAAGAATCTTGGAAACCAATTTATTTTTATACCATACCAGAGGCTACTGGGCACCCTTAAGGGTGCTTAACTACCCGCAAAGTTAAACACGAAACCGGTTCATAAAATTCATATATTTTTAGCACAACTTTATTAAAAAATCAGAACGTTTTGGTGATAAACTTACATTCAGAGTATTTAAAAAAGGCAACAGAGAAGCATGAGAAAATACCATATAACGCCGATGTTTTTGTTATAAATTAATAGTGTATTTTTCAGTGTCGACTTAAAAATGCATTAAGTTTATTTAGGAAACAAAAAAAGTTACGTCCATCTCCAATATTTCAAGTTATTAGCTAGGTTACTTGAAGTATTTTCAGTATTTCAAGTACATATATTCAACTACTTGAAGTATTTTCAGTATTTCGAGTATATGCAAGTACTTGAAGTAATGTACTTGGATTATACTTCAAATAAATGAGGAAAGTACTTGAGACTTGAAGTACTTTTAGTAAAAGTAAGTACTTGATAGTTTACTTGAACACTATTTCAAGAAGTACTTTATACTTGGTACTTCAAGTTGTTTTGTTGAGTACTTTGAACAGCTCTGATGCCGACCAATCACAACAAAACACATTCAAACTGACGCCAAATTCAAATATTGTTCATGGTGTGTATTCAAGTGTTCATTTCCAATATCATAGCTTTAGGGAAAACCATACGATTTGTTTTTATATTTATCATTGCGTGGGAGTATTTTTTAAATGGGCACCGATTTGTTAATTTTACAGATTTTCCGGTTTTCGATTTTTCTGTTTTTTAAATTTTCAGTTTTTGCATTTTTAAGTTTACAATTTTTCCTTTTTCAACTGTTGACCTCTTAATTAATTTTAATTCGATTTTGAGTTTCTTTATTGTTGCAGTTCTTCGATTTCTCAATTTTTAAATTGTTCGGTTTTTCAATGTTTTTTTTTTATTTTTCAGTTTTTAATTTTTTGATTCTATCAATGTTTCAGTTTTACAATTTTTCGATGTTTCAGTGTTACAATTTTCTAATTTTTTGATTTTTTTAAATTTCACCTTTAATAAGTTTGTCCTTTTGTTGAAAAATTAAAAAACGAAAAATTGAGAAAATGAATTAAAAATAAAGTACTTCCAAGTTGTTTCGTTTCCTCGATTTTTTATTTTCTCAATTCGAGATTTGTAAATTTTTGGTTTTTTTAATTGTTAATTTTTTGGTTTTTCCTTGTTTCATTTTTACATTTTTCGATTTCTGGATTTTTCATTTTTAGTTTTTCGATTTTCATTATGATTTTTATTTTTTAGTGAAATTTTTGTATTTTTCGATTTTTTAATATGCAGATGTTTTAATTTTTCTATTTTCCAAGTTGCGTTTTAATTTTCCCGATTTTCGGTCTTTTGAATTTTATATTTTTCGATATTTCAAGTTTCATTTCGCAACTTTTGAATTTCAATTTTTCTTGATTTTTTCAATTCTTCGACATCTTGATTTTTTAATTTTTTGATTTTTCTATAATTTTTAGACGTTTCAATGTTAAAATGAAAAACGAGAAAATAACGAATTAAAAATTGAAAATTTGAAAACTGTTAGATCGAAAAACTGCGAAATTGTTTCTTTTTGTTGATTTTTTAATTTCTCGATTTTCAACTCGGAGAACTCGGCAGGGGATTATCCCTTTTATTTCAATAGTATTAGCTGATGGCAGGTACAGACTTTCACATCCGCCTATTCCTCATAGAATTTAAACACATTTTTATCTTGATATTTTGCAGTTTAATTTTCTTTATCACGTTAGACACTCATTTATTACCAATTTCTCTTTTTTTGTTTATACATGCTTCAGCCAAGTAAACTTAGTTTGCTATTACTACTTATATTTTCTAACATTATAGTTTTTTCAAATAATTTGTTAAATTTCATGTATTATTTCAATGCAGAAAAACAATGATTTTAAAAATCACACGAATTTTGGGTCGATGCGGATTTTATTTTATATTATTTTTATTTTAAATCATTTGTACATAAAAATACACAGTATGTTTGGTACACGTCAATATAAGGCTATAACATTAAATATGTAGAGGAGTAGATAATTAAAATGTACGACACTACTAATCTACATTACATTTACATCATTGATAAACTCTTCATATGCATAATATGCCCTATTTAATAAAAAGCTCTTTAATTTTTCTTAAAAATAGTTTGCTCTAAGTTCTTACTATTTGGAGCCAGTTTATTATAAAATTTTATTCCATAATAGTTAGTACCATTTTGCGATTTTTTTAGTCGCAAAGATTTATTACATAAGTTATTTGTAAATTTTTGTTTTTTTTAATTGTTATTTTTTTTATTTTTCCGTGTTTCGTTTTTACATTTTTCGATTCTTGGAGTTTTTAGTTTTTCGATTTTTATAATGATTTTTATTTTTCAGTAAAATTTTTGTGTTTTTCGATTTTTTAATTTGGAGATGTTTTAATTTTTCGATTTTCCATCTTTTGAATTATAGAATTTTTCGTTTTTTCGATTTTTCAATTTCTCAATTTTTATTTATCGCTTTTTCAGGTTTCAAATTTACAATTTTGTAATTGTTTCATTTTTAAATTTCCCGATTTTTAATTTTTTACGTTTTTCAAATAATTCTTAGGGTTTTTTGAAGTGTACAATTCTTGGCTTTTCAATTATCCGACTTTTCAGTTTCTGTATTTTTCAATTCTTCGATTCCTCGGTTTTTAAATTTTTCGGTTTTTCAGTGTTTTGTCTTTTCAATTCAATTTTTCCATGTTCCTTTTTTACCATTTCTTAATTTTTTAGTTTTCCGGTTTTCATTTTAAAAGTTTTGGATTTTGAATTTTAATTCTTTTTTTACTGTTGATTATTTAATTTATAGAAGTTCTTCTTTTTCGTTTTTTCAATTTTTCAGTTTCTCGATTTTTAATTAATCAGGGTTTTCAGGTTTCAATATTACAAATTTTCGATTTTTCAATTATTTTTGCAATTGTCCAATGGTTCAATTTCTCAATTTTTTTCTTTTTCAATTTTTCAATTATTAAATTTATCGATATTTCATTTTCTTTATTTTTTCAATTCTTTGATTTTCGAATTTTTTGCTTTTCCAATTCACTTCAAAATTTTGGTTCGAATAAATTTGTCCTTGTGTTGAACAATTAAAAAATAACAAATCGAGAAAATGAAGAAGTAAAAATCGAGAATTTGAAAAATTTTAAATGAAAAATTGCAGAATTGATTGTCGATTTTTCAATTTCTCGATTTCTATTTTTTTAACACCTACAAAATAAACAAATTACAATAAAAATGTATACGATTCTTTATTCAAATAATAACCTGCATAACCACATTATTGCGTCTGTTAAAATCACATTTTCAGTCTTACCAACTAACAAACAGTAATCACAATGCGAAAGTCACAACCGCTGCGTCTTTGGAAGCCGCCAAAAACTAATATCACTAACACACCTTCAGGCCCTAAATGAGATTAAACCTAATCGTTAAGTACAAAAAGACATAAAAATTTGGTTAAAATACTGAACTATTCGCCGAATAAATATAAAATTGTCTCGGAGGTAACACATTACCAACATACAAACTTTAAAAATTGTCATTGTCATCGTCATTCATATTTCGGTTCCTCAAACTCGCATCCTTCGAAACCACACTTGATGGTAACGTGCTCAGGAATTTGAGCACCTAATACTCGAGTATATTGAGATCTGTTCTCAAAGAAGTATTTCGTTTCGTACTTAATCTCCGCGGGCTGGAAGTTCCACTTCCATTGGATGTTCGAAGCCAAGTCCAGAACGTCGCGGTTCTGGTACATTATGGACTTGGGTTTGACGACGGGTTTTTCAGGGCGCGGTTTCTGAACGCAGTCGGCGGCGTTGACATTCTGAAAATCAAAAGGGTTTTATTGTTGGGGCGTTTTAAATTTTAACTTGGAGACGTACCTTTACTTGGAGTCGAGTGTTGAAGAGCATGTCGAAAAGGGGGCCCAAATTTTTAATGAAGGAATCCGAGTCGCTCCAGAACGATGAGATACCGCTTTCTTGGGAGGATTGCGATGATATGGAGGTTAAGCTGGGGCTTTTCAGTAAAAGGGCTCCATGGTTGAACACGTCAGTTAATCCGTCGAAGTGGTCTTCGTTCAACCCCGACAGAGCCATAGCTGCGGGAAGGGCCATTGTAGCCGTTGTCACAGGAACTGAAAAGAGGGAAAAACTGTAAATTTGGGGGTATACAAAATTCGGGTACTGTTATTAATAAATCTGATGATCTTTGAACCAAGTTTCTAGCATTCGAGACTATTGAAATTGATTTGCCACAAAGTAGTAGTTGATATATTAAAAAGATGTGACAATTAGGTCGGGTCTACATATGTTAAAGTTTCATTAAAATGACGACTGAAATGTTCTGGCACCTACTGGTGTTATCATCAGAGTTCGTGCTTTCAAGTCGTCTAAATTATCGGGTCTGTTCATATAAACACGACTTTTGTCCATAAAAAATCAAGGAGTGTGAGATCCGGAGACCTAGGTGGCCATTATATTGGTCCACGCCTTCCAATCCATCTTCCATCAAACTGATTATTTCAGCAAAAGAACAAATTTATCCAAACTAAAATATTGGAAAATCGGAAAAGTGTATCATTGAAACAATGAAGATTACAAATATTTTAAAATGAAAAATCCAAAAATGTCAAAATGAAAATCGAAACAATAAAAAATCGAAACACCGAAAAATTGAAAAAATGTAAAACATGGAAAAATTAAAAATGAAAATGCAAAATCGGATAATTGAAAAATTGGAAAAACGAAAAAATAAAAAATACCGAAATTGAAACATCAAAAATTCGAAAAACGAAACAGGTTTGCAAATTTTTCAATTTTAAAGTTTTCAAGTTCTTGATTTTCAATTTTAATCAAAATGAAATTTTGTAAAATCGAGTAACTGTAACACCGAAATATTAAAAATGCAACAATTAAAAATCGAGAAATTGAAAGTCGACAAAACGGAGCAATTCTGCAATTTTTCGGTATAAAATTTTCAAAATTCTCGATTTTTCATTTTTTAATTGTTCAACAAAAGGTCAAATTTATTCAAACTGAACTTTTGAAAAACCGAAAAATTGTAACACTGAAACATCAAAAAACACAATAATTATAAATCGAGAAATTGAAGAAATCAACAAAATGGAACAATTTTGTAGTTTTTCCATATAACATTTTTCAAATTTTTAATTTTTAATTCTTTATTTTCACGATTAAGGACAAATGTATTCAAACCGAAATTTAGAAAAATTTAAAAATTTGCAACAATGAAACGTCAAAAAATTATAAAATTGAAAAATCAAAAAGTTTAAAATTGAGAAGTCCAAGAATTGAAAAAATAAAAAAAGATTGAAAAAACCGGAAAAATGAGAATCAACAAAAAGAAACAATCTTGTTTCTTTTTGTCGATTCTTGAATGAAAATTGAAATATCGAAAAACTTTAAAATTGAACAAACGAAAACTGAAAAGAATGAGAAATTAAACACGTGGATAATTGAAAAAACAATTGAAAAATCGAAAAATTGTAATATCGAACCCTGAAAACTCTGATTAATGAAAAATCGAGAAACAGAAAAATCGAAGAATTGAAAAAATAAAGGAAACTTAAAAAAACTGAAAAAATTAGACTTAAAACTGAAAAATGAAACTTAAAATATCGAAAATTGAGAAATTGAACAATGGGATACTTAACTGAAAACCCTGATTAATTAAAAATCGAGAAAGTGAAAAATTGAAAAAACGAAAAACAAAAACTTCTATAAATTAAATATTGAAAATATAATAAAAAAAATTATTTCGAAATCCAAAAATTTTAAAATGAAAACCGGAAAACTGAAAAATTAAGCAATTGTATAAACGAAACATGGAAAAATTAAAAAATTGTTACATCGAAAAAACGAAGCACTGAAAAACCGAAAAACTTAAAAGTTGAGAAATCGAAGAATTGAAAAAATAAAGAAACTGAAAATCGGATAATGGAAAAGTAAAGAATTGTACAATTCACTAATAAAAACCCTAATAATTATTTGAAAGAAGTGAAAAATTAAAAATCAGCGAATTTAAAAAAAAATTGTAAATTCGAAAAAAAAAATTTAAATGGAAAAACTGAAGAAATGAAAAATTGAAGATCTAAAATTGAAAAACCAAATTTGAAATATCGAAAAATTGAAAAAAGTGGCAAACTGAAAATTGGGTAACGAGAAAAGCAATTAAAATCGAAAATTTGTAACATTGAAACCTGAAAAAGTGAAAATCGAGGAATTGAAAAATCGAAAAAACGAAAAATTATAAAAGTCAACAGATAAAAATGGAGGAATCGAAAAATGTAACAATGAAACACGGAAAAATCGATTCTTTATTATTAATGATTCAATTAAAAAAACGAAAGATATAAAAATCTCGAATTGAGAAATCAAAAAATCGAAGAAATAAAATAATTTGGAATTTCCTACTTTATTTTCAATTTTTGATTTTCTCAATTTTTCGTTTTTTAATTTTTCAGCAAAAGGAAAAATGTATTAAAACTGAAATTTTAAAAAATCAAAAAATCGGAAAATTGGAACAATGAAAAAACAAAAATTAAAAAATGAAAAACTGAAACTCAATAATTTAAAAATTGAGACATCGAAGAATTGAACAAAAAAAGAAACTCAAAATCGAATAATTAAGGAGCCAACAATCGGAAAATGAAAAATTGTAATGATGAAAATGAAAAAACTGAAAATTTAAAAAACAGAAAAATCCAACAATTGCAAAATTGAAAATCAAAAGTAGAAAAAACGAAATTTGAAACACCGAGAAATTTATTTTTAATTTAAAAATTGTAATCTTAAAACTAGAGAAATTGAAAACTTCGATGATTGAAAAAACAACTGAAAAATTGAAAAAAATCCAGAAATACAAAAATACGGAAAACAAAATTTTCTAGAGATAGAAAAATCAACAAATTTTAAAACTCAAAAATTGAAGAAACGAAAAATTATAATATCTAGACATTAAAATGTCGAGAAATACAGAAAATTTAAATTGAAAAATCCAAAAATGTCAAAATAGACATCGAAAAATTGTAAAATTAAAAAATCGGAAACTGAAAAAATGAAAAAAACCGAAACATTGAACAATAAAAAAAATGAAATACATACCGAAATGTTGAAAAAATAGTGAAATTTAAAAAATCGGATAACGAAAAAAACAATTGAAAAATTAAAAAATTAAAATATCTTAAAATGGAAAAAACGAAAAAACTGTCAAATCTAAATATCAGCCAGTACTTGCCAACAAAAATCTTATTTTGGCAAATGACATATCTTCTGAGAAAATAGGGGGCGGGTGGGCGGGCCTAGTACTTGGTAAGATAAGAGTGATTTTGGCAAATCAGATACCTTCTAAGAAAAGAGAGGGTGGGTGGGCGGGCCTATAAACCTGCTAAAAAATTCCAAAATAAAAATCGAAAAACTGAGATCTCCAAAAATCGCAAAACTATGAATCTTAAAAACTTCAAAAATCGATGCGAATTAAAAGAAATGCCCAGACCACACAGATGAAAACAATAATATTCGACTTTGGGCCAGTTTGAATTTAATTTGAAGTGGGCATGTTGCGCTCCTAGAATTAACATTTTCGATTTCGTATGTGAATTTTATTAAAGGATGGATAGAATTGATTGAAAATACAACTTTTGTGTCACTAACAAATAAAGATTAAGAAATTAAATTAAATCACAGCCACTAGTAGAATTGTGTACATTATTAGACTCAATATAGTATTTGGTTATCTCACTGTTGAAAAACTAATGCAAAATTTTGAATTGTTTTTGAAATATGAAGTGCTAAAAAACCAAAAAAAAAACAATTTTAAAGTAATTTTTTTGGATAATCAATTTGATGAAACGCGTGGATTAATAGAATGGCCTGTTGGGACCCACCAGCGCGAGGTATAAGGCTTCTCCGCCTCCTTTTTGCGCTTTTCCATAATCCCATAAACACTCAGATGTATAGAATAATGTGGATAAGTACAACAATAACGAGAATTTTATTAAATATTTGTGTACTGTGAAATTTGGTTTACAATTATGGTGTTGTATGGTGGAATCGTCCGCATGTATTTAAGATAGAAAAAAAACACATCAGACGCAATTCTTAAATAATAATTCTACTATCAAAACACAAAACTCATTGTTTATCATTGTTTGTTACGATTATCAAGTTAAGCAAACAAGATAAATAATTACCAACTCAGTTTCAGAGTGAATGTGATAATAATTAAGTTTAAAAAAGCGCTAAAAACGAAACTATTTTTTTAATAACAATTCGGCTCGTTATGGAGATAAAGTAACAAACAAAATTCCACAACAAAAGTATCAATTATTCCTTATCTCAAGTTCATCACGATCCGTTAGATAACTTAACAAGCCTGTTAACTTATCACTGATTCATGCAACAGGTAGTACGATTATTATTAGATAAATTGACCCCTTGCCAATTAAAATTGTATTTTTACTTCAGCTTATTATAAACAGGACAATTTCAGATCGAATTATCACTATTTACATTGAAACCCAAACCAGCACATTCATGTACCAATAATTAATAACATCCATAAATGTCACTCTACAAACCTCAAACAAGCTCTCAGCACGTGTACACGTGGACTTTGATTCCCCTAATAAAACAATAAACTTAGTAATTACAACAGGTAGCACCCACCTTAACCACTCTCCGCCAAACAAACGCACAACATCACGCTACAATTATGCAGAAATCACTGTCTTTCCTCATTATCAACCAAAGCAAACAAGATATCAAGTTATCAACATCACCTCCAAATAAACAATTTTTCCCGAAATATGAAAAAATCAAAGACTTACGTTTCGGGACTCACACACACACACGCATCGACAACCGCGACCCTCTTCAATGTCAAAAGCTACATTTCGTGTATTTTTGCGTTAAATCTTATCATACTTGGTAAAAAATCTCGATAAGGGGATAAATTTATTTTCTTTGGAAATGGCGGGAGCGCTCGATAGATGGCACGAGGTCGACGAGTGAGCGAAGCAGCGACCGGCAAACACGACGCGCATGAGTTCAGCTAGTCACCACTAGAGGGCGCTTAAAGAAATCTGTAATTGCGTTAATTGCATGAAACATTTTATAGTTACGTTATATATATTTGGACACGTATTTTAGTTTTGGTCGAAGTGGTTTAATTTTGCGGCTACCGTTGGAACGAAATGTATAAATGTGGAGGCGCTCTCTCTCGGTAAGGTGCTCTACTAACAGCAGAGTGACGCATCGCTTTATGAAAGTGTAGTCGTGACAACTAAAGTTGGCGGGTTTCTTTATGTCTAATAAATACATAATTTGGTGATTATGCAACCAACTATTCAGGTGTGTGGCTGGCTGCCTATGCACCTTTCGTGCTCTTTCAACACCCCATTCTTTTTCTTCTCGTCTCTTTTCTCCGCTACGTTCACGCAAACCGAATCCACCCCCTTCTTGAGCAACAATGTATAAATAATGAGGGTGTTTCGACAGTAGCTATCGCGTGTCTTTCCAAATTAATTCAGTGGAGTGTGTTTATTCGATTATTTATTTCATCATCACGGCTCACCCTCCATTCTTCTCGCGTTACTAATCGCGATTTGACATGCCACGTCTATTTTAATTCCTCCCCGTAGAGCCGACAACACAATTTTTGCGGACGGCCCTGATTTGATGTGTGTTTTGGTGGATGCGGACGTCAAGCGATCATCCCTTTAATGTCGTGGTGATGTTTAATTCATGGCGGAGGGAGCAGATGGAAGCCCGGTTTATGGAGTTGTTGTGCGGAAGAATATAGCTGGAAGAGATCAGGTGGCGGTTGGCTGATTTCCGAGGTTATTTCGTCTTCAAAACCGAAAAAACTGTATTGAGTTTAGTTTAGTTCGTAATTAAGTTGTTCATTTTCAGCGTGATTGTTTCTTTTTAAGTTTTTTCGGCCGCAACCGCACGCACCGCCCCCCGCGCACGTCGCACTAACCCGGTCATCTCCTCGGCCGCCCCCAATCATTACCGCCGCTCCCGCCGCCAATCGATATCGCTCCGCCACCGCGGGGGTGCGAGTGGCGCGATTTCCTCCCGATTCATTTCCGTCTGTCTAGTGTCCGCATTCTTTGGAACCGCTTTCCCTCGTCGGTGGCGTAGGTCATGAACTTAACAATCAATGATATGTTAACAATAGTCGTTACGTCATGGCATCGTAAACATATTTGCATACATGAAGGAAAGTGGCGAAATGTCGGCGGCGGCGAGGTGCGTGCGCTTCGGTGGCGGCACGCCGCCGGCGCGCCGCCCTCCAATCGCAGAGGTTTAATGGCCGAATGCCCGCTCCGATGGCGTGCTACAGGCAACTGGTGATGATGTTTGGACGCAGGAACTAATTAGGCGACGGCGGCTGGAAAGGGGCCGATTGCGATGCGGGATTTGGCGGCGGCGAGGAAATGCCAAGTCGGTGTGCGTGGGGCGGTGGATGGGTTTTCAGGTGGCAGAAGGAATCGGGGCGGGGAGATAAGATCATGGGTTTATGGGTTTTGGAGAGAGTCAAGGTTTGAGTTTTTTAAAAAATTAACAACTTTATAAAGGTAGATATGTTAGAGAACTAAGTAAATGTTTTTTTTGTACTTTTAAGGGTCAGTTAGGTCTAGACCAACGGTGTTTTTGTTTTAATAATTTAGCTAAAACTATGTTGTAAATTTTGTTTCGAATTTCGAGAGGTTCAACAGAGATATTTGTTTATCTAGATAGAACTGAATATGTAGGTTCCATGTTATGAAATATTTATCTGTTGTGATGAGAATCTTGTAATTCTGGTAGTCAAGGTTGATATAAACTAAGAAAGTAAACTTTTCATCTCAATACAATTGTTAAAACATAGAATTACAGAAAATAATCATCGTTCATCACACAATTACTTGCACTTTTCTGTCCATGCACATTCAATCATTTTCACATCTGTCCTTTACAATCCAGAAGTTTAACTTCTAGATTTGTTCTATTTTCTATATTTCCATGAATTTCTTAACTAAGTTTGACTTTTTATCAGATCTAAGACTGTCGTAAAATATTTCCGTGACTTAAATTCTACATTTCTAAAATATCGTATCGAGTACAAAAAAGTGATCTCCCGCTTTGTTTTTATTGGATGATCTCCGAAACTACTTAACCGATGACGTCATGATTTAAATGTTATACAACAATATACTCCTACATTTGTGGTGTACGAATCGGCTTTGACTTTTTCCTCTAGGCATCCAAATTTTCGCAAAAAATCCATGTATAATTTCCCCAGTTCTAATTTGGTTTTATGATAGTACTCCATTGTGTAAAAGTGAACTTCCTTAAGAATGGACTATTACTACTGCCGGTGATATAGGATAAATTAAACCATTATACAGTATAATGGTAACGGCATGGTTAAATCCTTATTTATGACTATTCCATCAACGGCAGTAGTACTCTGTTGTTAAGGAAATTAACTTTTCCACATCATAAAACCGAATTAGAACTGGGGAAACTATACCTTTTATGCTAAAAATCTAATTACGTCTCCGTTTTATTTTTTTTTTATCGTAAACCGCAAATCTTTTCTATATTTTTTATTGATTAAATCACAATGGATTCACTCTTTTTTTATTGATTTTCTAGTTTACGTTTTTTTGTTTTTTGTGGCCATTTTTTATGTTTCAATGTCTTATTTTTTCTGATTTTGGAGAAAAAAAAATAACAATTCGAAATAATATGAAAAAAATCATGTCTGCGTCTATCAGGAAATACAATCCAAAATTTGGTTCGCAGCTCTTCGCAATTTCTGTTTGAATAAATTTGTTCTTTTAGTTGAAAAATTAAGAAATTGAAAAAATGAAGAATATATAAATTGAAAAAAGACAAAATTGCATAATTGCAAATCTAAAACTCTAAACTAAAAATCTAAAAACTCTGAAGTTGAAGAATAAAAAAAATAAGGAAATTGAAACATCTAAAACATTAAAATTACATGAATCGCATAATCGAAAAATCAAAAAACGAAAATGGAAAATTCTAAGATTGCAAAATTGAAAAAGTGACGAATCGAAGAATCGAAAAATTGAAGAACTGAAAATTCGAAAAATAAAAAATAAAAAATTAGAAATAGAAAAATTGACAAATCAATAAATTAAAAAATTGAAGGATTGAAAATAAAGGAAAATTAACATTTTGAAAAAAAGAAAAATTAACGTTTTAAAAATTAACTAAATTTGAAAAATCGGATAGGTCATGGAGGAATATGAACATGGCAAAATTGTAAAATTGAAAAACTGAAAAGTTGAAAAACCAAAATTGTAATATTGAAACATCCAAACATGAAAAATAAAAAATCGAGAATGTGAAAAATTGAAAAAGCGAAAAATGTTAAAATTGAAAAATTCTATGAAATACTGAAAAATTGAGAAATTAAAACTCAGAAAAATAAAAAACTGAAGAATCGTAAAATTGACAAATCCATAAAATCAAAAATCGATGAGTTCAAAAATAGAACGATTGAAAAATTGCAAATTAAAAACTTGAAGAATTTGAAAAAAAAGTAAATTAAATATTTGAAAATTAACTAATATTCGCAAAATTTTAAAATTAAAAAACCCACATGTTGAAAATCTAGAAACTGAATATCGAGAACTAGAAAAATTAAAAATCTGAAAACTGAAAAATCCAAAAACTGAAAAATCTAGTGAAAAACCTAGAAATTGAAGAATCTGAAAAATGCAAAAACCAAATATCCCACAATCCCACAATGATTAAATTCAACAATCGAATAATTGGAGAATCGAAAAAGTGAAAGTTGACGAAAAATTAAAAATCAAAAAATCCAAAAATCGTAACAATGAGAAATCACAGAATTGCAAATTAAAAAATTAAATGAACGAAAAAGGAAAATTCTAAAATTACAAAATCGAAAAACTGACGATTCAATAAATTAAATACTCGAATAAACGGCTGAAGTGAAGAACAGAATCATTAAAATTTAAAAATTGAAAAGTCGAAGAACTGAAAAAAAGGGAAATTAAAAATTTTAAAATGAACTAAATTTGAAAAATCGGATAATGGAGAATTCTGAACATTGCGAAATTGTAAAATTGAAAAATCTGAATATGAAAAAATAAAAATCGAGAATTTGAAAAATTGAAAAATTGAATAAGCAAAAAATTTTAAAATCGAAAAATTCTTTGAAATATTGAAAAATTGACAAGTTAAAAATCAGGAAAATAAAAATCGGAAAAACGAAAAAAATGAAGAATTTAAAAATTTTTAAAATCGATAAATTCAAAAATCGATGAGTTGAAAACTAGAGTGATTGAAAAATTGCACCTTACAGACTCGAAGAAATAGAAAAAAAGGAAATTAAACATTTAAAAATCAACCAATATTCGCAAAATTGCAAAATTTTAAAATGAAAAGACCGATATTTTGAAAAACTAGAAACTGGAATTTTAAATGTCGAGAACTGAAATAAAAATTGAAAAATTGAAAAATCCAAACTGCAAAATCTATTGAAAAATCGAAACATTGAAAGATTAAATATATAGAACTGGAAAAATTAAAAATCGAAAAATGGAAAAATCAAAAAATGCAAAATTATTGAAAAATCTAAAAATTGAAAAATCTGAAAATTGCAAAAACCAAAAATCCTACAATTGCGAATCGAAAAATTTAACACACGGGCCATGAAAATTCTAAAATTTGAAAATCGAAATATTTGGAGGATCGACAATGTGAAAAGTCTAGGAACTGAAAGTTAACGAAAAAATAAAAATAAAAAAATTCAAAAATCCAAAAAATGAGAATTCACAGAATTGCAAACCAAAAAATTAAATTAACGAAAAAGAAAAATTCTAAGATTGCAAAATCGAAAAAAAGACGAATCGAAAAACTGGCAAATCGATAAATTCAAAAATCTAATAGGTAAATCGGTGAAATGAAAAACAGATCATTAAAATTTGAAAATTGAAAAATCGAAGAATGAAAAAAGAGGCAAATTAAAAATTTAAAAATTAAGTAAATTTGGAAAATCAGATAATGGAGAAATCTGAACATTGCAAAATTGTAAAACTGAAAAATCGAAAAGTTGAAAAACCAAAATTGTAAAATTGAAACATCCAAACACGAATAAAATAAAAAAAATTTTAAAACCCAACAATTCTTTGAATTATTGAAAAATCGAGAAATTAAAAATCATTAAATTAAAAATCGGAAAAATGGAAAAACTGAAGAATTGAAAAATTGACCAATCGATAAATAAAAAATCGATGAGTTGAAAAATATGTAGAATGATTAAAAATCGTAAATTAAAAACTCGCACAATTGGAAAAAAAGGAAAATTAACTATTTGAAAATTAACTAATATTCGCAAAATTGCAAAATTTTATAATTGAAAAACCGAGAACTGGAAAAATTAAAAAGTCCAAAAACTGAAAAATCTATTGAAAAATTAAAAAATTGAAAAATCTGAAAAATGAAAAAACGAAATATCCCACAATTGCGAAACGAAAAATTTAACACACGAACCATGAAAATTCTAAAATTGAAAAATCGAAAAATCGACAAATGGTTAAATTCAAAAATCGAATAATTGGGGAATCGAAAAAGTGAAAAATTTAGAAAGCCAACGAAAAATAAAAATTAAAAAATTCAAAAATCGAAAAAATGAGAAATTACAGGTTTACAAATCAAAAAATTAGATAGGCGAAGAAGGAAAATTCTATAATGACAAACTCAAAAAACTGCCGAATCAATAAATTAAAAACCCGAATAAACGGCTGAAGTGAAAAACAGAATCATTAAAATTTAAAAATGAAGGAAATTTGAAAAATTTTAAAATTGAAAAATTCGATGAAACATTGAAATATCGAGAAATTGAAAGTCGTGAAAATATGAAATGGGAAAAATGAAAAACTGAGGAATTGAAAAATTGACAAATCGATAAATACAAAAATTGATGAGTTGAAAAATAGAATTATTGAAAAATTGCAAATTGAAAACTTGAATCATTGGAAAAAAAAGGAAAATTAAATATTTGAAAATCAACTAATATTCGCAAAATTGCAAATTTTAAAATCAAAAAACGGATATGCTGAAAATCTAGAAACTGAAAAATTAAATATCGGGAACTGAAATAATTTAAAATCGAAAAATTGAGAAGTCTAAAAACTGAAAAATCATTGTATTGAAAAATCTGGAAAATGAAAAAACGAAATATCCCACAATTGCTAATCCAAAATTTAACACAGGAACCAAAAATTAAAAAATAGACAAATGGATAAACTCAAAAATCGAATAATTGGAGAATCGAAAAAGTGAAAAATCTAGGAATTGATAGTTAACGAAAAATTAAAAATCAAGAAATTCAAAAATCGAAAAAATGAAAAATCGCAGAACTGCAAATCAAAAAATTAAATGAAGATTGCAAAATCGAAAAACTGATAAATCAATAAATTCAAAACTCAAATAAGGTCTAGTGAAGTGAAAAAAAAGCAAAATAAAATTTAAAAATTAACTAAACTTGGGAAATCGGATAATGGAGAAATCTGAACATTGCAAAATTGTAAATCTGAAAAATCGAAAAGTTGAAAAACCAAAATTGTAAAACTAAAACATCAAAACATGAAAAAATAAAAATCAAGAATTTGAAAAATTGAAAAATTGAAAATGCGAAAAATTTTGAAACCAAAAAATTCTTTGATTCATTGAAAAATCGAGAAATCAAAAATCAGGAAAATAAAAAATCGGAAAAATGGACAAACTGAGGAATTGAAAAATTGACCAATCGATAAATAGAAAATCGATGAGTTGAAAAATAGAATGATTGAAAAATCGCAAATTAAAAACTCGCACAATTGGAAAACAAGGAAAATGAACTATTTGACAATTATCTAATATTGGCAAAATTGCAAAATTTTACAATTAAAAAACCGATATGTTTAAAATCTAGAAATTGAAAAATTAAATATCGAGAACTGGAAATATTAAAAATCGAAAAATTAAAAAGTCCAAAAACTGAAAAATCTATTGAAAAATTAAAAAATTGAAAAATCTGAAAAATGAAAAAACGAAAAATTTAGAAAGTCAACGGAAAATTAAAAATCAAAAAAATTCAAAAATCGAAAAAATGAGAAATTACAGAATTACAAATCAAAAAATTAAATAGGCGAAAAACGAAAATTCTAAGATTACAAATTCAAACTGCCGAATCGATGAACTGACGAATCAATAAATTCAAAAATCGAATAAATCGGTGAATTGAAGAACAGAATCATTAAAATTTAAAAATTGAAAAATCGAAAAGTTTAAAACCAAAATTGTTAAATTTATTGAAAAAATAAAAATCGAGGATTTGAAAAATTTTTAGATCAGAAGATTATTCTGAAACATCGAAAAATGAAAATATCAAAAATCATAAATTGAAAACTTGAAAATCGGGACATAGAAAATCGAAAAAATGAAAAAACTGAAGAATCGAAAAATTGACAAATTGTTAAAAACAAAAATCGATGGGTTGGAAAATAGAATAATTGAAAAATCGAAGAATTGAAAAAATAGGAAAATTAAAAATTGGTTGAAAAATAGAAACATTTTAAATTCGAAAAATTATTATATTTGAACGTCGAAGAAGTGTAAAATAAAAATCAAAAAATGGAAAAATTGAAAAACGGAGAAACTGAAAACCTCGAAAAGTCGAAAAAATGAAAAATTGAAAATTCTATAACGAAAGATCCGAAAAACTGGAGAATGGAAAAATCGCATAATTTGAAAAATGAAAGAATTGATAAATGGGAAAATTGAGAAAGCGAAAATCAGCTAGAACTCAAAAAAATGTTTAAATAAAAATCATCAAATAGAGAAATCTGATAATAATACAATTAAAAATGACAAAATTGCAAACGGCACACCCCAATATTTTATTAATAGTAGTATGCACGCTGCACGTGTCGGAATTGACATACGTGTCTTTGCTGAAATAATGTTGATCGGAATATTATCAAATGGGAAAATTCGCCAAAACTATGATATTTTACGTGTTTATTTTTTTTTTAACTGTATTTCTTTCCAGTTTGCAAGGCGATTTTCAGGTGTATCGTGTTATACAATCATTTACTCGACGTCCACACAGCCTGGATGAACAAATTAAAAAATACATAGTGTTTGTTGAGCAAATAAACAAATCATATGTGTTTTTAATTTACTTTCACTAAAGTCTCAAAAATAATAATTGGAGATAATTCGGGTAATCCAATATACCCATCGATACCAAGTTAGTAAATTTTCTACATTGCTGGACTCCTCTGACGTTAACCAGAACTTTTTCAACCCTCAAAAAAAATGTTTACCCTTCTCACTTTCTAGAACGTTAAACCTCGAAACACACACACCTTCCAGTACGTTCCTGGAAGCCCCCGCTCGTCGACCTCCAAAATGCAGCTGAAAAATCGCCCCCGGCCCCACCAGGTGCCATCATTCACCGTCCCATCCGCAATCTCCGAACCTGTCTAGGTAAAAAATCGTCAGTCTTGTCCTCGTGTCATATCACGAAATATTTACCATTTCCGACCGAGTTTATACATCGTATCCAACACAATGGGTTCACCAGCTGGTCGGCTTTTCAGTGAAGGCATGTGGCAAAATCAATATGAGCTCAGTGGCGCGGACTTGCGGCGATGCCCGGAACCGCTATTGTTAACATCCTAGCCGATATTACATCACCATATTACATTTTAATATCGAACGAAGGGTCCACGGCCGCCCTGCCGATGCCAGGCCGAGACGCACTTCGAGAACACTTATTAATTGCTTCTGTGGCCGGGGAGGGATTAAGATCGTCGGGTGGAAACTTCTTGTTCTTAGTAGTTCTGTTGTGTGGTAATTATTCAAAGAGCGGATTTTAGACTAAAAAAGCCAAAATAGGCGATAAAAACGGGGAATTTTTGACAAGATTTTCTCAGCAGGAAGGAGTTCCTGTTGCAACATAAATTTAAGCAATGGGTCCAAACCATTAGCCAAAAAATGTTATAGAACACTTTTAAAAGTAAGAACAAAGAGTAAACATATGCCTTGAGAACAAAATTGTGAACATTTTCAACATTTACTGTGGTATTTAATTACAATAAATTTGTTTATTTGTATTGTAAGTTAATTTTTTAATAACATAAGATATGAAGCACTTAGGCAACCAGTTATGCACTTGAGTGTGGTATTTGTCGTGCGTCCTTGGGCATTTAGTACAATACACATAAAGTGATAGGCGGCACGCTTCCAGGACCTACCTATCTTTTGTTGTTTCTGAAGTAAAAGTATTCTAATTTTTTTTTCTCAGGCTTTTAATTTCCAAAGAGGTCAATTTTGAAATAAATCACCTCCAAAATGATTGATCACTTTGAAATGTATCTGAAATATCATTTGAAAACATTTAGAAAAACATCAAAATCACCTCCAAATTTTTTTCAAATTAAAAAAAAAATACAAGGAAGTTTCAAGATATCATTTTTTTCTTTAAAAAAGACACAAGGGGTTCCAAGGTTGTTTCAATTTTTTTAAATAAAAGGGGCAGTAGGCTGAAATTTTTAGAATAAAAAAAATATTTATTTTAAAATCGTACATTTTGAAAATGTTACGTGATGAAAATAAACGCGCTATATTTTTGAAATCAGCACGTCGAGCCCTGAAATTTTTGAGAATTTTTAGATAACTTTTTTAAAAGTGAAATTTTTATTCAAATTTCGAAGCATTTTTGACCATTTTCGAAACTTAACCATAAACATGTTCCTGTAGATTTCTAGCTTGTAAGTCACTTCATCCTCGTTTCTTTGATAACTTCAACAGTTTTTGCAGAATCGGCTGTTGAAATATCGAAATTTTCGGAATTTTTAAAGAATTTGACTTTAAAGTGAGATTCATAAACTTGCATAAGATATGTTTTAAGTTTCTTGTTGTCAAAATAAGTCTACACATATTAAGAAAAAAAAGGCAAAATGTAGCCCCGCCCACCCGCCCTGTCTCAATTGTGATGATTTTTTTAATTCGTCGTGAGCCAAGAAGGCGGAGATTAACTGCAAAATCCTTATGTCTCTACGAGAAATTAAAAACTTGTTTTTGAGTATCGGGTTGTTTAAAGTATACTATGTGTATTAAGAAAAAATTAAAGCCAAAGATTAAGCCCCACCCATACCTGCCCTAAAATAGTATTGAAGTTTTCATTCGTTGACAGACCTAGGGGCGGAGTCTAATTGCAAAATACATATTACCATTTTAAAGGCGGGGTTTGTATTTTGCATTTTTTTTCTTAATGTACTTAGTATTTTTTTAACCGCACGATACTCACTAACATGTTTTTAATCTCTTGTAAAGAAATAAGTATTTTGAAGTTAAGCTCCACCTCCTTGGCTGACGGCGAATAAAAAAAATCATCACAATTGCGATTGGGTGGGTGGGGGGGCTTACATTTTGCCTTTTTGTTTTAATCTGTGTAGACTTCTTTTCACAACATGAAAGTTAAAATATGTTTAAAATGGAAAATTTGTATAAGGAAATATCGATTTTGAAATTAGGCTCCGCCCCATAATTGCAAAATCCATATTTCCTTGCAAAAATGTACCATTTTAACCATGTTTGAAGTTTCTTGTTCTCAAAAATTGGCTATGTATATTAAGAAAAAAAAAGGCAAAATATAACATATGTGTTTGTGTAGGAGATACTAATATCAGTAGAAGAAAAAATATTGATCATCTGAGACAGGGGTGACGTTTCTAGAGTATTAGATTTTTGCCGTGTCATGATGCAGTAGATAAAATTTCCTAATATTGAAACTGGGAATGTTGAAATCGATTTTCCCCTTTTGGTCGGGACAGTCAATTTGATAATAATTAAGCTTTGGCGCTTAATCTTTGGCTTCCTTTTGTACTTGATAATTATAGTTTTCTTTAAACATAATTTTTTAAGAACATGTTTCAGATGGTAATTTCCTGCAGAAAAATACGAATTTTGCAATTAAGCTCCGCCCGTTGCTTCACGACGAATAAGAAAAATCATCACGATTGAGACTGGGTGGGTGGGCGGGGCATATATTTTTTTTGTTTTTTTCTTAATATAAGTAGTTTTTCACTACAAGAAACTTAAAACATGTTTAAAATGGTGAACTTTTGCAGGGAAATATTATGTTACGGTCGTTGGTGTGACAACGAATGAAAAATTCATCAAAATTGAGGTTGGGGCGGATGTAGGTGGGGCTTAATTGTTGGCTTCCTTTTTGACTAGATAATTACAGTTTTCTTTGAACATAATTTTTTAAAAACATGTTTCAGATGGTCATTTCTTCTAGAAAAATACGAATTTTGCAATTAAGCTCCGCCCCCTGCCTCACGATGAATAAGAAAAATCATCACATTTGAGATTGGGTGGGTGGGCGGGCATATATTTTGTATTTTCTTCTTACTATAAGTAGTTTTTTTTTCACAACAAGAAACTTAAAACATGTTTAAAATGGTAAATTTTTGCAGGGAAATATGGATTTTGCAATAATTGTGCTACGCTCGTCGATGTGGCAAGGAATGTAAAAATTCGTCACAATTGAGATCGGAACAGGTATAGGTGGGGCTTAATTGTTGACTCTTTTTTACTTGATAATTATAGTTTTCTTTGAACATAATTTTTTAAGAAAATCTTTCAGATGGTAATTTCTTGTAGAAAAATACGAATTTTGCCTCGCGATGAATAAGAAAAATCATCACAATTGAGATTGGGTGGATGGGCGGGGCATATATTGTGTTTTTGTTTTTTTCTTAAAATACGTAGTTTTTTTCATTACAAGGAACTTAAAACGTGTTTAAAATGGTGAATTTTTGCAGGGAAATACGGATTTTGCAATAATTATGCTACGTTCGTCGATGTGACAACGAATTAAAAAGTCATCACAATTCAGATCGGGGCAGGTATAGGTGGGGGCTTAGTTATTGACTTCCTTTTTAACTTGATAATTATAGTTTTCTTTGAGCGTAATTTTTTAAGAACATGTCAGATGGTAATTTCTTGTAGAAAAATACGAATTTTGCAATTAAGCTCCGCCCGTTGCTTCACGACGAATAAGAAAAATCATCACGATTGAGACTGGGTGGGTGGGCGGGGCATATATTTTTTTTGTTCTTTTCTTAATATAAGTAGTTTTTCACTACAAGAAACTTAAAACATGTTTAAAACAGTGAACTTTTGCAGGGAAATATTATGTTACGGTCGTCGGTGTGACAACAAATGAAAAATTCATCAAAATTGAGATTGGGGCGGGTATAGGTGGGGCTTAATTGTAGGCTTCCTTTTTGACTAGATAATTACAGTTTTCTTTGAACATAATTTTTTAAAAACATGTTTCAGATGGTCATTTCTTCTAGAAAAATACGAATTTTGCAATTAAGCTCCGCCCCCTGCCTCACGATGAATAAGAAAAATCATCACATTTGAGATTGGATGGGTGGGCGGGCATATATTTTGTATTTTCTTCTTACTATAAGTAGTTTTTTTTTCACAACAAGAAACTTAAAACATGTTTAAAATGGTAAATTTTTGGAGGGAATTATGGATTTTGCAATAATTGTGCTACGTTCGTCGATGTGGCAAGGAATGTAAAAATTCGTCACAATTGAGATCGGAACAGGTAGAGGTGGGGGTTAATTGTTGACTTTCTTTTTTACTCGATAATTATTGTTTTCTTTGAACATAATTTTTTAAGAAAATCTTTCAGATGGTAATTTCGTGTAGAAAAATACGAATTTTGCCTCACGATGAATAAGAAAAATCATCACAATTGAGATTGGGTGGATGGGCGGGGCATATATTGTGTTTTTGTTTTTTTCTTAAAATAAGTAGTTTTTTTCATTACAAGGAACTTAAAACGTGTTTAAAATGGTGAATTTTTGCAGGGAAATACGGATTTTGCAATAATTATGCTACGTTCGTCGATGTGACAACGAATGAAAAATTCATCACAATTCAGATCGGGGCAGGTATAGGTGGGGGCTTAGTTATTTACTTGCTTTTTAACTTGATAATTATAGTTTTCTTTGAACGTAATTTTTTAAGAACATGTTTCAGATGGTAATTTCTTGTTAAAAAACACGAATTTTGAAATTAAGCTCCGCCCGAAGCCTCACGACGAATAAGAAAAATCATTACGATTGAGACTGGGTGGGTGGGCGGAGCATATATTTTTTTTTGGGTTGTTCTTAATACAAGTAGTTTTTCACCACAAGAAACTTAAAACATGTTTAAAATGGTGAACTTTTGCAGGGAAATATTATATTACGGTCGTTGGTGTGACAACAAATGAAAAATTAATCAAAATTGAGATTGGGGCGGGTATAGGTGGGGCTTAATTGTTGGCTTCCTTTTTGACTAGATAATTACAGTTTTCTTTGAACCTAATTTTTTAAGAACATGTTTCAGATGGTAATTTCTTCTAGAAAAATACGAATTTTGCAATTAAGCTCCGCCCCCTGCCTCACGATGAATAAGAAAAATCATCACATTTGAGATTGGGTGGGTGGCCGGGCATATATTTTGTATTTTTTCTTACTATAAGTAGTTTTTTTTCACAACAAGAAACTTAAAACATATTTAAAATGGTAAATTTTCGGAGGGAAATATG